TGCGGTGGCGCCGGCGGGGGCAGCGCTATAAATTAGCGAGTAGTTGCAGGCGGTTCATGGAAGTGAGGGAGCCAGGAGTTCTGGATCGAGTGCTGCTGCTGATTGTCCAGTGAGCGTTGTGCAATGTGTTCCGTGTGCGCTCGTTCGCTGCCGATTATGCCGTTGTTGCTTTTCGCCAGGCTGCTGCTGCTGCCTGCGGTGCTGCTGCTGCTGCTGCTATCCTCGGACGCTGCTGGTGAGCGGGGCTGTGGCCGTAACTCAGTGAACGGTTACTGCACCGAGCAGACTCACATCCCGAGCATCGATCCGGAGCGACAGTTCGCGTCACCAGCTTCGCAGCAGAACGGCAAGAACGAGGCAGTTGTGCAAGACAGGGAGAACAGCGAGGGCGAGCAGCAAACAGAAAGCGAAAAAATGACAATATTCGATGGGGCGAAACGACTGCTAGCACGTACTGCCAAGAGCGCGATGGCTTGGATGTCCAGTGCCGACTCGAATCTTGGCCTGGTCAACAACCTGCAAAGTAAACCCATTTCCCTTAACAAAAAGACGCATCTCGCCTCGGATGCACATTTAAGGTGGAGTGGGGCGCCACTAAGGCCTAACCATCCTGGTTTTGCCCTCCGACGCGCACCAGAAATGTTATGCAACTTGCTCCGCGGCTCGCCGCCGGCTTGTTCTCGCAGGCATTTCATGCGATTGAAAAGCGCGTCGCCTTCACGGGCACGCATACAGCCTCAAAAACTGCTGATCACTGATAGCAGCCGATCTGAAAGTTTTAGATGCATGAACTGGTGTCTGCTTCCCGGGTAAATTGGCTTTGGCGCAGGTAGGTCATTTCGGCGCCTGTTCACACTCACGCATTCCTTTCGTTCCCTATCAGATTGGTACTTTCTTGTTAAAATTTTTTCGGGGCAGTGCAAATTTTGAAAATTCTCAGAATTCAGGGCACATTTCACGATGACACTTTCAGATAATGGCTTATTCCGAGACAGTAGAGTGCGTGATGCAATGCTAAGCGTGGATCGAGGCGATTTCACCGCCGTGACGCCGTACGCTGATCGTCCGGTTGGGATCGGCTATGGCGCTACAATCAGTGCTCCTCACATGGTTATTTATTTTTCGTTTTTGACACTCGCTTTTTCCGGTGTTGCTGTTCCATTTTGCTTAAATATGCCTGGTGTCTTTCTTGTTCCTGAATAAAATCAGCCTTAAAGGGCCTGTAGGGTAATGATGTCGAAGAAGGGCGGCAAAGCCTGAAGTGCGCACTTACGTGCTGCGATGCCCATCTCGGTAATGCATACACAAGCAGACAGGCAATAAAAATAACAGAATCTAGGCGGTAAAGATGTTTCCGTTAGGTCTCGGTCAGCGGTCATTTCATCACTGAGCGCCTCACAGTCTGTGCGC